AACAATCAAAAACCAAAGACAGAATCAAAACATGAAATAGGCAAAATATGGAAAATGGAAGTTATGGGAGGATAGAGGATACCGTTGTACGGAGAGTGAGAGGGCTGCAATGAGAGATACGCACAGCATATCGAAAACGAGATGCGGTAGATTGAAGAGGTGGAAAGAGTATTTTGAGAGGTACTTACTGAGGCAATGGGAGAAATGGGAGAGAGGAGAGAGAGACCGAAAGTACAGCTGGAAAGCAATCTGACATTTCTCTTAAAAGTAGCGTATCTCTCTATAAAGTGATTGGCTATGCAGAGGTGAAATGTTCTGTTCTTTTGCTGAATAAAATCACTCCGCCAATTTCCAACCTGGCAGCTTCCACAGATTCCTTTAACCTCCTTCTCTGTTTTTCTCTCTCTCGATCCCATCGCTCCCCTCTCCTTGTTCTTGTGAAAATTGCTTGCAACATGACAGAAATACAGGTTTCTTTCCAGAGGGCCCTGGGGTTGAGTCGCATAGAAACAGAAAAGGAAAAAGCTTTACACGAGTAAATGTTTTAATTTGTTCAAGAAACTATCATTACCGTGTGACATGGACGAGGCCTTTCTGCGTGTTTGAGTGTGTGTTGTCTGTGTTCTAATAGATCCCTTCAGTTTAGAACTATTGATATTCAATGTTGTAAAGTCACGCTCAAGCTATCATGTGTGTTTCTGTTTGTATACTTTGACACATGGGGAAAATTTAACATCGCCGACCACCTTTCTCACTGTGAAACTGAGTTAAGGGTCTTAGAATTATCATCTAGTGATATGGATGAACAAAGACTTAAAAAAAAAATTAATAATACAGTGAGCGCGTACACTTTAAGGAATCTCCAATGGAGCATTTGATAGAAATGCACAAAGCTCATTTAAGGGGTGGAAAAAAGCAGAATCAGTTTTCAGAATCAGCTTTCTGAAAGCACAACTGGACCCAGTGAAATTATCATTGGTCAGCCGAAGTCCACTGAAGTAAAAGTTAAGATGTCGTTTCGTTCTGAAATACTGTAAATGGATTCACAGTGTTCTCTAACTTTAAATCATTCTTTAGAAGTGTTATTTCACAATTGCTGAGGCTTCGATGGTATAACTGTCAAAACATTGACAACTGAAATAAAGTATATTATTGTATAGTTTTCGTAGGCAAATATAGTAAACTGAAGGGATGAAAAGAGAAGAAAAGAGACTAGAAGAGACGTATTAATATGGTGTGCCAGTTAATTAAATCAAACAATTGTAATACAAACATTTTCAGTATTTGCAGAGAACATAGACTTTATACAAGTAAATCAGCATTGTTTGCTTTATCGTTTAAAAAAAGACTGTAAGCTGTTGCACTGTGTTCTTTGAGCACGAGCACATGTCGTGTGAACGAATCTGCTCTCATTCTGTGCTGTTTGTTTTTTCTTTGTAAATGTGGTTTGGCAAAGTATAGTAGCAGCTGTTGATGTGCTTTGGTGATGCAGGTCAAGGCTGTTAGCATAGTCTTGATCCAGTGTTCCAGGTACACAATTTTCACAATTTTCTTTTGTAATATACAGTATAAACAACATATTAACTTTTACTTCAGATGACTTTGGCTGACCAATGATAATTTCACTGGGTCCAGTTGTGCTTTCAGAAAGCTTATTATCTGTAGTCCTTGTTTTCAAACTGATTCTGTTTTTTTTTTTTTCTACCGCTTAAATGAGCCTTGTGTATTTCAACCCGGTCTCATCCCAAGACGTCATATTACTGACGTTTTGGGACGTCTTTTGACCATACGTCAATATTCGCCTTTTTAGGGCCCCCTTAAACGTCGGTAGATGAGGTTATGGGATCCTAACTCTATCCCCAGACCTAAACCTAACTAAACCTAACCCGTCACCTAACTGACGTTAAAGTAAAGCGTCAGTTGTATGACGGCCCGGGATCGCCATCTACCGACGATTAAGGGGGCCCTAAAAAGGCGGATATTGACTTATGGTCAAAATACGTCCCAAAACGTCAGTTATATGACTTTTTGGGATGAGACTGTGTTATGTATTTCTATCAAATGCTAAGATTCCTTAATATGTAGGCGCTCACTGTATTATAAATATTTTATATATAAATAATATTTTAGTCTTAAATATACATGTGTGTGTATGTGTATATATATACAAAATAATTAGCCAGTGCACCCACATATATTATGTAAACACAAACTTTTATTTTTGATGCGATTAATCGTTCAATTGTTATTAATTGTAACAGCCCTAATTGTAATATATATATATATATATATATATATACATATATATATATATATATATTCCCCATTTATAATTTAGTTATGCTTAAAACAAGAAAACATTACAAGCAAATTAGTTTACACTTTACAATAAGGTTCAATTCTAACATTTACTAATAGCATTATTAAAAATCAATGTAGTGTCTGTCAATATTATTTGTTGACGTATTATTTGTTGTATTATTTATTTATTTATTTATTTTTTTTTAGGAAAACACATATGCTGTGTTCACGCCGTAACAACTGTAATTTAGAAGAGATGGAAACCTGTTGATGTTCTACTTGGAGCGGTTCGTGACTTGAATTTATCCCTTTCAATGGTAACACTATCAACGCCAAAATGAATCTGCAGCGGTCAGGTGGTACAGGTCAGTGTTCTTCTATGTTCATTATTATTGTAATGTTGTGTGCTTTGAGACACGCCGTCTCTTGTGATGCTTTTGCTTGCTCCCTACTGTACGTGTTCTTGTGTTTTGGAGGAGGTGGCTTTGGAGATGCTCTGAAGGGACAGTGGGATGCTTTCAAACATGATTTCAAAGCTCTCCAAAAACTGCATACCCTACCTTTAATTCTATACCAGGGTTATTATAGTTAGCTAAAACTATACAATTAATTAATTAAATTATTTAATAAAATACACATTTACTGAAAAAAAAGTAAACTTTTTATTTCAGCTAGTTGCCAGAGCAACCTTTCTAAATCTCATTTCATTTAACTCAAACTGAATGACAATTAATGAAAACTATAGACATATTTAAAAATAAAGCTATTAAAATATGAATGAATAAAAATTAATAAAACTTGAAAATTGAAAATACAAAAATGCAAATTCATTCAGATTATTTGTTGCAAAATATAGTATCTCAACGAAAACAAGACAAACATACTGATTAAGAAAACATATATTTATATTTTTAAAATAAATAAAAAAATAATTAAAAATAAATAAAAAGACAAAAAATAGATTTTTTTTTTGGCAGTAAGACTTGTTATCTTTAGCAATTTTGGTTCATTAGAACTTGTAGTTGAGATGAACATGGTCTCTTTGTGGCTTTGAAGCACAGGATTTAGGATGTCTAAATGGAAAGGCTTTTATCTCAGCTTCCCATGTGTGCACACGATGGATCGGTGCATTATCCACTTTCTGTTCTGCTGTTATCTGCCATTATATCTAATCATTATCATTATCATCATGCTTCGTGTACCTGCCTTGTTCTTGTTCTCCTGATGTTGGAACTATTTTTGTCATGTCAGTTTTCGAATGTTTGCCATGCAAAAAGAAAAAAAAAAAGCCTACAGTACTTTACAGTACCTACATCTGAAAATGTTCTTATATGCTGTTTGAGTGCATATCACACTTTTGTCTAAGATTCCCTCAGAAGTCTTCAATCCACAAAAGTTGTCTTTGCCCCTAAATTGAACTGTAAATCACAGGGCCCATTACACAATGCCCTTGTCCATTATCAGCTACTGACGTGCAGTGTGCCGTACGTGTTCTGGGTTTTCTTTTTGGTAACCCAGCAACCTTCATGGTGCATATGGTCTGATCAGACGTCTTACCTCTACTGTGGTCTGTATCAAAGGTCCATCTCAGGACAACAGGCTTTACAGCATCAGGATCAGCCATGCTGACCTCACTGAGTAGGATGAGGAGTAATCTCCACAACACGGACAGAGCCTTCAGTACGCTCATACAACACTGTCAAATAAATAAAGCTGGTACATGAACTTGTGACTGCACATGAATAGAATTCTATATTAATGTGTACATATTCCAATATTTATATATATAATAAATAATAATAAATGAACTAGATGTGATTTACACATTTATAAATATAGGCAGTATACCATTCCAAAGACAAGGAAATCTCTTATGCACACCAAATCTGCTTTTATTTGATCGAAATACAGCACAGAGCACAGTAAAATCACTGTAAAAAATGATCGTGATTTTAACAGTAAAAGACTGTAAAAATGCTACAGTGAAAAACTGTAAATTGGTTAACAGAAAGTTTCCTTACTATATACGATAAATAACTGTGATATATATAATGGTACATTTAATGTAGTTTTACTACAGTTTTTGGAAGTGAAAAAGAAGTCATTGTATAATTTAAATTGACTTTCCCACAATTCTCTGCGTGACACTTCACATTTAATGTATTTTAACTGTTTATTCATAATTTTCGTAGTTTTTTTTCTTATCAGTTATGTTCATTTAGGGTTTTATGTTACATTTAACGTTGTTAAATTAATTCTTATTTCATTTTTAAAATTTCAACATGTTACCATGATGGTGTTTTAATGTTTGTGTGAATGACACAGTGCAGCTTCTATAAAGTAGTATGAACTCTCTTGTGGAAGAGCTGATAATGATGAGCTTTGATTGATTGGTCATTTGACTCTCATTATTGCTGTGATAGATGGCTGTCGGTGTATTGCAATTGAACAAAACAGATATTAATACTTCAAATTGTCAGTAAATTAACATTATATCAAATAATGAAATACGGTTTATTGCTGTAAAATTAAATACGGTCAAAGTCTGTAAAACCTAAAATGTTGCTACCGTACTGTTAACAGGAAAACTCTGGTAACCACAGCTGCCGGAGTTTTCCCGTAAATTTAACGGATTTGTTTTTACAGTGTGCAGTATTGTATACAATATTGTGAAATATCATTTTTCAAAATTTCAACTGACTGATTTCTGTTTTAATATATATATATTTTTTTAAAAAATCCTGTGATAACTAAGCGGAATATTCTGGATTATATTTTAGGGCTTGAAAAGAATAGCATTTATTTGAAATATAATTTATTGTAACAATGTAACATCTTTACTGTCACTTATTTTGATCAATTTAATGCAGAATAAAAGTATTAAAAAATATATATCTTACAGAGCGCAAAGTTTTAAATGTGTACATGTATACGTAATGACTCGTAATGAGCATGCAAATTATAGGCCAGACCCATTTGTATGTAAGATTGATCTATTTAACTTTCTTTTCCCTTTATGTTGCATTGTGATATATATATATGACAATATTTTATTCTATAACTCTTACAGGCACTTTTTTAAGCAGGGGTGTTGAGATATGACGGCCCCTTCCCTTTGCTTTTTGTAATCTTAACATATTTCCGTCCCCGGTTGAAACACAATTGTACTAATTATTCTTCCTAATGCAACTCCGTAATCGTAAACGTCGCTGACCTTCTGCCAAGTTTTTCGACTTTGGCTCACAGTTGTTTCTATAAAGCATTCGGGGCTCTTATTAAGTTACCTGACAACCAATTTCACATTATTAATTTAAGAGAAGCAACACTGCCTGCCTCCAGCAGTTCCTACCGGCTTTCACTGGTTCCATAATTGCCCATGTTCTTTGCTTATATGTGGCTTCTAGTATTGACCCGAAGCCCCGGCGAATAGGCCACCTACACATCATATGCTAAATCATATCTATCAATCTGAGAGCTATTACAGAACAGACTGCACGAGCAAGGCCAGTGCTCATGACGCAGCCAGTTTGCCTTAACCCTGCTAAATGGAAGTCATTCCAGAGATTAATAGAGCTGGAATGAGACATTCCGTTTTGCTTCCACCAAGAGAGAGGGTGAGACCGGCGGATCAGGACCTATATGTTCTCAGAGTTTTACTGTTTCATTGTGAGCTGTGTGTGGAGAGAAGAATCCATCTCTCACCTCCTGGATCGAAAAGGATTTTTAATAAGCAATAACTAATGAGGCTGCTTGTATGAAGGTCATCGATTAATGAATTAATTAATCACCTAATCTTCTGTCCGAGATTCTGAAGACCATCTAAATTAATCTGTTGTCAGATTGCAACGCAATTTGGATCTCCCCAAATAGACTTATGACACATCACAGCAGCCTTTTGATACATTTAACGTGCTTTGTGGTATATGTCAGCTACATTATTAGTTAATTAATGCTGAACATAAGAGTCCTTGAATCATAATGGTGTGTGAAAATCAATTAGGGCTCCAGATTTTATAAGAAATTGCATACACATGATGTGCAGGTGTCCACTAAGATAATTATAATTTAGCAACTTGTGGATGCTAATTGCTTTGAAATTTTTTTTTTTTACCGTATTTGTGATTCGGTGGCTCTGAATTGTCAAAACACCATTCAAACTGTTTGCTACGGATGCGAAAAACGCTAGAGCGAGGAGCGAGACGGCCACCATTCAACCTAAAAGAAGTGACATAACCATTTCAATTACTCCGAAGCTCTACAGTTAAGCTAAAAAACGGCATACTGTCCCTTTAAAATACCCAAAAATGTTTGAATCTTCAGCCAAAAAAATGAGATTAGTATGATACAATTGTTTAATAACTTTATATGGAAAATGATGTACACTTTCCAACCCGATCTCACAGGAATTCGTACGAATTTTACGAGGTGGCTAAATTCGTAACAATTCATACCTCACTTTTGCTAAATCGTACATATTTTACGAATTGGCCAATTCGTATGAATTGGTACGAATGACCTACCCCTGACCCCGCCCCTAAACATCACGTGGGTTTAGACAAATCGTATGAATTCGTACGAGTGAGGTCGTACGAATAAGACACTTTTTTATCACACGTATGAATTCGTATGAATTGGTCGTGAGATAGGGTAGACATTTTCTTGTTTTCATCAACTTGTTTCATGAAAAAATAAACCATTTAACTTCCAAGAATACCAGGATTAAGTTCATTAGTTGTAATGCTGAAAGGACAATTTCTATGTCATAATCTACTCAACTAACACACTTTTGTACTAAACGAGACTGACCCTTGATTATGCCTTAGTGATCAACTTCCACTGCAAATGTATTACTGTAAATGCTTTGTTTTGCACACAGGAAGGTATTGCGTGTTCTAATCGACAGGACTCCACAGATGCGATAGAGCTTAACCTGTGTTTAACCCCGAAAACATTCCTGCATGGTTGTTTGTTTTGGGTGCGTTTCTGTTTTTTGATGTTGTTAGACTTATGACCCTCATATCCTGTTCTGAGGGGCATGGGTCAGTATAAATGTTTTGAGGTGAAGATAAAGGGCTTAGGGTTTGGTTTACAGGGACATTGTGAGGGTGAGAGAGAGAGCATCTGGCCTATCAGGAGGATTCCGAGCCTTCTGGTGCGACGGTCAAATCAGTCCCCCTAACAAGGTTGACCTCGGATGGCAAATTAAGTTCTATAAATCGGATCAGAGGCCTGCCGTCACTTTGGGTGCTTAGAATATTGTAACACGTTATGTGACTGTCACCAGCTAGATGTACTGTGGGTACAAAAGTCTGAGACCACATTTACAAAATGGGTTGTTTTCCTTGTCATTCTCAAGATA